AGTGCCAGCAACTCTGTTACTGTTCGAGTGAAGTGTCAGTGGCGCTGACCCGTTTCCATTGCTCTTGCCGCAGCTGTGACGTCACCAGCACGCGCTCGCGTCCGCGCCGCCGGTGAGCTTTTCTCTCCCTCCAACCAAACCTCCCCTTATGAGAGGCGTTCAGATGGCTCTGAGCTCGATCAGGAAAAAAAACACTCAAATGCGCATCAACGAGTCACTTCAAGTCAATTCTCGAAGCGAGTGTACATCCTTTTTCGGTCAGAGCACATCTAATTATAACATCTCTGATTTTCTCGCAGCAGGCCTAACTAAGGCCAAGCCCAAACTGAACACTAGGTTTGAGCTCCTCCTGTATAGACCAATGTATGGGTATGAGCTCATATCTGAGCCTAAAGTAAGCCTAACTTCAGGCTTCAATCATCACGAGCAAATCGAACATGCCTCGCGTAAAGCACAGCGCCTTAGAAAATCAAAACGCTTCTTGAAGGAAGTAGGACGCGTGGCGCGTCTTGAAAAATGATCATGTGGGATTGACCCATGCAGAATAGTAAAAGTTGCAGAGAGAAAAGAGAGCGAGAAAATCAACCAACCGCTCTCATCATTTCCTTGAACTTCTGCAATTCGTGCCCTTTGGCTAACAGCGCAGCTTCGAGCTCTGTGGAGCGAACGGCGTGCAGTCGACAGGATGTACAGAACTTCGACGACAGTTCACCGGCCTGACTCGATGGTGGAGAGTGCATGGATTCGTTGTGTGGAGATGCCGTCACTTCTTCGGTATTGCTCGGTGATGTCTCAGCGAAAGCCGTCGAAGATGTTTCTTGAGGACTGGAAAAATTTCACATAAAAGTACGTGTGGTTTTGGATTAGGCGTGAAGTACGGCTCACCTCGAAGAGCAGGAGGAGTTGGTTGCAGTCGATAGAATGTTGACATGAACTTCTTCGGGATCTGTCTTGATGGGGTTTACGGGTGCTAATACCGGAAGTTTCGCCTATAATTTGATGATAATGGTCTAATTGCTCTGATATTGCTGAGCGAACCCATAAAGCAGTGATTCATACCTCGTCGGCGACAGCAGCCACGTTGTTGTTCTGAATATGGCACACGTACATGTGAACGGCGAACGCCGGCTGGTTCGGGAATGCACGACTGCAGAGTGCGCAAAACAGTGACGGCATCAATTGCGCTGTCGGGGCCGGTGGCGGTGGTGGCGGTGGAGCGGCTGGCTGCGGTGGCAGCTGAGCTGCTTGGCCGAGCGAATAGCGCAGCGAGCGTCTGCTGTTGAGCAATCAACGCTGCGCCTGACACATTGGAAGCGTGAAAGAGATTTATGTTAGGTCACGACGAGCGAACCGTGATATTTACTTAGCAAGTTTCTGATTGAAGTTGAGCAACGGTTGGGAAATCAGTGGAAACACTGGAGACGGCTGCTCGATTTTCATCGGAGGCGTGGCTGCGCCGGAGGTGCTAAAGAAGTTAACTTGATTAGTCGGTAATACGAATCGAAAAGTTCTATTGGGATTGGATAGATTATTGGTCAGAAGGGAAGACTCATGGTTACAGCAGAGTAAAAGCGTCTGGTAAAAGGCGGTAGGGCAAGTAATGTGAGGAGGTTGCAGGAGGCGGTATTTCACGCGAAAGACGATTCACTAGCTAGAGTTGGTCGTTGAGGGGAGGGGGATGCGAGAAACGAGGAATGACCCGAACCGGAAATGAGATCCTTTTTGCCCTTTGTTTGCGCGCTGGCGTGTCTCCGGCTGAGTCCCCTCAATGCTACCGCTCTTCTCTGCTTGAGCGGCCGGAGTCAGATGGTGAGGAGGTGGGCGGGCAGCGGCGCGAGCGGCATGGCCTTTCCAGGCCGCCAGGACATACCCTTCGCCCAAAACCTGCATGGTCCCACACCATTCAGGAGCCCGCCTGCCTTTCCACTGATTATAGTTCCGCTTCTTCGACTTCCGACCTTATCGTGAAAATCTTCCTATAAAGCATACTAGGCTTCACACTTAGTTCATTGTATTACAAGCTCCTTCACGCTAAAGTCACGGTCCTAATTTCTGTCCATTCCAGCGCTCTCCACTGCTTGGATTGTTTCGATTGAGGGCTTGTGTGGGCACTTTCTTGACAATTCACCACCTCAGTCATTTCAGAATAGGGGGCAGATTTGTAAGAAAAAGCTAGGGACGGTTTGTTTCCTTATGACGGGTTTACGTGTAGTTAGCTGTTCTCAATAACTTTCGCCATCCACACGGGAACTCATTCGATCCTTGGGAACTGACGTTTTTCTTACGGGGAGATGGGTGCATTCGTTCTGACGACTTTCCCTTTTAGGGTAGAACTGCCAACGTTAATAAACGATTTGGCAATGTAACCCTAAGCCCATTCCCCCGTCTTTTCGCTTGGCGCTCATTTCTGGAGGTAGGTCTGCCACATGGGATTGCACTCTCTGCTGACGGCAACTATAAATTGTCGTCATTTTTTATGACACTCTGGCGCGTAAAAAGCGCACAACTGTGGCATGTGCTAAGCCACAGACGAGGCTTAAAAAGTGCAGAATTCAATTGTAACGTTGCAGCAAGTGAAAGCTGAAACGAACCTTTTCGTTTTACATTTGAGAGCATGTTCATCAAGTGATTGTTGCCGCGTGAATGAACGCCCACACTGTCGGCACGAATAGCCGCGTTCGGCATGGATCTTCATGTGCCGATTGAGATCAAACTGAAATGTAATCTCATTTTGCAATATTGAAATGAGCTACTTCAAGAGAACGGCGTCGTATTTAGCTACACTTCGAGGTCATCATATGGCTTTTAGCCTGTGCGCGGAACTGGTCTGCGTTTCGGGTACCATTCTTTTGGACTGAATCACTACGTTCCAATGCAGAGGAAGCATATTCCTAAGCGTGAGTTGCTCAAAATGGTCTTCATTTAATTCAACTGGAACGTCAGGTACGAAAAATGTGACCTGAAAATCCTAGGAGCCCAGCTTCCTCTGATGGCAATCAAAGGCTATATTGTGAGTTCATGTTCTTAAAGTGTCGGCCGGCCGCGGAAGATTGAAACGATGAAGCAGA